ACGGACCTCAGTACCCCTATGACGGACGCGATGATCGCGAGCGTTGGCCCTTGCGCTTCTTCACGCGCGCGTGTCGCTGTAACGGGAACTTCAGCGGCTTCGACTGCGGGCACTGCAAACACGGACTCACCGGAGACGCGTGCGAGCGGCGCGTGCCCGTGGGTCAGAGAAACTCTGTTCCACAGCCCTGCTGAAACACCCGCTTAAAGGGATAGATCACCCAGAAAGGAAAATTAGCCCATGATTCTACTCTCCCTCAAGTCATCCTAAGTGTATGTGACTTTGTTCTTTCAGACTAATACAATTGGAGTTATATTAAAAAAAAAACATATTTAACACAAAGTAAAATTCTATCTTCCGGCCATATGCAGTCTACTTACCCCTAAAGCACTTTCTTTGTTTATGAATTATGATGGATAGATGCACTTTTATGGACTTCAAAACAGAAATAGCCATTCACTGCCATTATAAAGCTTGGAAGAGCCACAACATTTTTTTTTAAATAAAACTCTGATTGTATTCGTCTGAAAGAAGAATGTCATATACACCTAGGATGGCTTGAGGGAGAGCAAATCATGGGCTAATTTTATTTTTGGCTGAACTATCCCTTTAACCAGAGGACCATTCTTGGTCAAACAGATTCACATAGTTTGTTGACCAACTTGAGTAGATGTTCCGGTGAAACCGTGACTAAAACCAGCATTAACCAGCCTGGATCATGTTGAGTTTGGTCTGGTGGTATTTTCAGCAGGGAACTGTCAATATTTAATATAACGTTTATTTAATTATACATAAGTATAAATTATGCGTAAATTATTAATATACATTTTAAATGATTATGATTCTCCAGTGCGGAGGAATGTGATGCAGCTCAGCGCGGAGGAGAAGCGCGCGTTCGTGAACGCGCTGGACCGGGCCAAGCGCGCGCCCCACCCGGACCTCGTGATCGCGACCCGCCGGTACCCCGAGATCTTCGGACCAGACAACAACACAGTTCAGTTCGAGAACATCAGCATCTATAACCTGTTCGTGTGGTCCCACTATTACTCGGTCAGCAAGACGTTCCTCGGGCCCGCGCAGGGCAGCTTCGGCGGGGTGGACTTCAGTCACGAGGGGCCCGGGTTCGTCACGTGGCACCGGTACCATTTACTGCAGCTCGAGCGGGACATGCAGGTACACTACTGTTGATTATGGTGTAACGAGACCAGGGGCGGATTAACCATTAGGGCAACTGGTCACTTGCCCAGGGGCCCACGACATCTAAGGGGCCCTGCGCACCGTCAAATATTATGTTAGATCACGTTATAAACGCAGTCCTCACTTTCCTAATTATATGCATATTTTTGCAACCCATTCGATCAAAATATAATGTTAAATCGCGTCAAAAACAGCGTCTGTATTCCTGCGCAGTGAGCGAGAGCGAGCTATCATGTCGACTCGCGTCGCGTGACTTGACGCTCTGAAATTTGAAGTGATGGAGAAGCAGTTGCCTACGGTTGCCTAACATAAAGGTCTCGACTGTTTAGCGTTATATTTTGCCAACGAAGTCAAATTGAAACTGTGATATTGCTTCGTGCCGTTATAAAACAGCAAAAGACTTTAAGTAGCCTATAGGCATTCTGTTTGTGCTGCGTGATTTAAATAGAAGTGCGCACTTTGCTCACGCGATCAGCATGGTGATCTGGTGTTTTCTCCAAAATGAAAGCTCAAGGGTTTATTTCTGGCAATTAAAGAAATTAGGACAAAAGTATTGTACTTTTCCTATACTGTGTAATGTAATGCAAAATACTTTTAGGCTACATTTATAGGAGGTATATGATTTTACGTCATAGGAATAATTATATAAATCATTATTATAATAATTGTTTGGCATCCTAAAACACCAGTGATAATGTAATGCAGACTGAGACTCTATATCATAACTAAAAAGATGTTTGAGCCCTCTTTAATGTCCAGGTACAAGTCAATGCTTTTTCTTTGTTCAATGTGCACAGTTCATGGGTTAAAGCCGGTTGAAGCTCTTAATTGTGAGCTCTCAAAGTGCACCAGATTGATGCATTTAACCTTAAAATGTACAAAATTTTCTTGCGGGGGAGCATGCCCCCGAACCCCCCTAGAGGGATAGAGTTCCACCCAACATAGTTTTATAAAATACTATGGGAAACACAGATCATTTATGAAGTAATATGTACAACAAAGTTCCTTTTAAGTCAGTAATACAGTTAATGCCAAATTAAAATGTCCTTGGACAAACTACATTTGGCCTGCCTAAGGGGGGGCCTACCAGACATTGTGCCCAGGGCCCTCTGAATTCTTAATCCGGCCCTGAACGAGACCCTCATGTCACGATTCGATACGTATCACGATACTGAACTCACGATACGATATTATTGTGATACTCCAAGACATATGATAAAAGGTTAACAAAAAATGTACTGTTGATTAAAATGCTAACTTTGATATTACATTGTGGGTTTAAATGAATAGGTTTGGACTTGGTGCTGAAACCCAAGGACAATGGTGACACCAGAATAAAAATATTCATGATTCTGAAGCTGAAAATACAGAATTATTTTAGACGAATATGCTTGCACTCTGTCACTGACTAGATATATTTGCATTGCATTATTATTATACATTATAATCAACATTATGTATAGTAGTTTAATGTAGTACTGACACTAAAACTCTGAAATAAATTAATTAACACACAGTAATTTTTATTTTGGGGGAACTATCCACGATACATATTGTCACTATCCACAATACATATTGTTGCATTTTTGTATTGCGATATATTGTGGCACGATATATTGTTACACCCCTACAGTTGATCATTTGCGTCATCTGAAACATTTTAATATTGTGTTGCGTAGACAATTTCATGAGGAACTATTCAATTGGGTGGTAAAGTGGAAAAGGCTTAAGAAAAAATAATAAAAACAAACAAAGTGTAAAAGTGTGATTAAAATAAAAATATGATTTATTAATATATTAAATAGATCAAAATAAATAAATAAATAAAATGTTTGATTAATATATATATATATATATATATATATATATATATATATATATATATATATATATATATATATATATTAAAAACATTAACTAAATAAATAAATAAATAACACATTTAACAGGAAAAAAATACTTTTAGAAATTTTAGATTTAGATTTTTTCAGTGCATAAGTTTGTTTATAAAAGAGAGATGCTTTTTAAGTTTTAGGACGGGGACAATATTTGGGGCTCCATGTGGTCTATATTGAAAAGCCCTGATCTAAGCTGTGTTCCAAAGATCCTTCTTTACACACTTCCAGCTGAAATCCTGTTTGTGCTGGAATTCCCCTTTTGATCTGTTGCAAATCTGATTCCAGTGTTTATTTGACAAATAATCTAATGATCTGTGATTGTTGATCGATACTCCAGATACTCATGATCCGTGAACCGTTATAAGTGATTATAATCAGAGTAATGGAAAGGAACACACAGATTCACCCTTGATGCGCGGAACATGTGATTAAGCGTGTGATTAAGCGTTTAACAAAGTCTCACACAAAGACTCGTTTGTCTCAGAGCCGGAGCCTCACAGCGCTTCATCACTGAAGGTTCAACTCAGAGCCGGCCGAGCCACTAAGCGACCGTTGCAATTGCAAAGGGCCCCGTGGCCAGCAGAGGGCCCCCTAGAGTCACTGCTAGCTAGTGGGGGGGGGGGGAAATCGCACAACAAAAGTAACATAAAATAAATAAATAAAAAGAAATGGACCTACAGCGCTCTTTATCAGGCATCATGATAAGCACAGAGTTGTTATTTATTTAGTTCTGTATTATGGCAAATCAACCGGGAGCTCCCCGCGAAGGCGCGCGCGCGTCTTGATCCCGACTGCCCCTATGATGTCACTCGTTGTCACTTGGTCTTTGGTCAGTCAGTTAGCGACTCCGACGAATCGACGATGTCTGACAATAAACGAAAATATCTTTCTGGCCAAGAAAAACGACAAAAAAGAGCCTGGAAGAAGAGAAGCAAGAAGATAAAGGTACGTAAGCCTGTAGGCTTAATTTTCCGATTTCTGCAATATGGATAATCTGCACTAAAAGTCTTATTTTAACATTAGCCTAAATCGTGCTTGTATTAATTTTCTACAGTTGTTTAACTTACATGCTAATAACATGCTGCATAAAATTGGTTTAGTATTAGGCCTATACCATTTGCTGTGGTGTTACTGTTAAAGCATTTAACAGAACAATATAAACCCAGTTTGGATAAAGGGCTAACATTAGTGTACTCCTTATGTCCCCTTAGGAGCACTATTAAAGTAACGTTATATGCTGCCAGTAAGCAAAGCTCCAGCTGTTGGTGAGTATAAAGGGGCAGTAAAATGATAACCTTCTGCATTTTAAAAATTAAGTCTAACTTTATGTATAATTATTTTCTTTATTTGGATTGGATTTTAATAGTTATATTGAAATGTTACCTTATTCTTAATATTGTTACTATTGATCTTCTTTGTGGTGTTTTAGATGTTATTGTTAATTTTGTTTATTTGAAAAATCTATTTATTATTTTATATAATATTATATTTAAATGTTATTCTATTTGCTCTATTTAATTTAAATTTTATATATATTTTATATATATATAATAAAATATATATTTTTTTATAAAATATATATTTTAAATATATATATAAAATATATATGTGCTGTATATATATATATATGTGCTGTAGTTTGCGACTCTTAAACTCTGGTGTCAATAAAAATGTATCTTTGTTCAGTGATAATCCCTTTATGTCTTTTTATTCAGTAAGTTAATCAGTGTGTGTGTGTGTGTGTCTTGCACTGCCATTCAGCTCAGTGGTATCATAATTTTCCTGTTAGACATCAAACATAGTATATACATAATATATATATAGTATAATAGTATATTATATAATATAAATATAGTATGGCATAGTTATAAGGTAGTCATTGCTTTTCTTTAGGCCTTAAAACGGTCAAAGGGGCCTCCAACCAAATTTTGCTTAGGGCCCCCAAAGGTCTAGGGCCGGCTCTGGTTCAACTGTCAAATTATCCTAGTTTTTGAGGACTAGAACGAGATGTCATTGTGCTACGGGTTTCTCTCAGATAATTACTGTGATCTGACGGGTTTCTCTCAGATAATTACTGTGATCTGACGGGTTTCTCTCAGATAATTACTGTGATCTGACGGGTTTCTCTCAGATAATTACTGTGATCTAATTACTGTGATCTGACGGGTTTCTCTCAGATAATTACTGTGATCTGACGGGTTTCTCTCAGATAATTACTGTGATCTGACGGGTTTCTCTCAGATAATTACTGTGATCTGACGGGTTTCTCTCAGATAATTACTGTGATCTGACGGGTTTCTCTCAGATAATTACTGTGATCTGACGGGTTTCTCTCAGATAATTACTGTGATCTGAGGGGTTTCTCTCAGATAATTACTGTGATCTGACGGGTTTCTCTCAGATAATTACTGTGATCTGAGGGGTTTCTCTCAGATAATTACTGTGATCTGACGGGTTTCTCTCAGATAATTACTGTGATCTGACGGGTTTCTCTCAGATAATTACTGTGATCTGACGGGTTTCTCTCAGATAATTACTGTGACCTGACGGGTTTCTCTCAGATAATTACTGTGAGCTGACGGGTTTCTCTCAGATAATTACTGTGACCTGACGGGTTTCTCTCAGATAATTACTGTTATCCGACGGGTTTCTCTCAGATTATTACTGTGATCTGGCGGGTTTCTCTCAGATTATTACTGTGATCTGACGGGTTTCTCTCAGATAATTACTGTGATCTGAAGGGTTTCTCTCAGATAATTACTGTGATCTGACGGGTTTCTCTCAGATAATTACTGTGATCTGACGGGTTTCTCTCAGATAATTACTGTGATCTGACGGGTTTCTCTCAGATAATTACTGTGACCTGACGGGTTTCTCTCAGATAATTACTGTGATCTGACGGGTTTCTCTCAGATAATTACTGTTATCCGACGAGTTTCTCTCAGATAATTACTGTGATCTGACGGGTTTCTCTCAGATAATTACTGTGATCTGACGAGTTTCTCTCAGATAATTACTGTGATCTGACGGGTTTCTCTCAGATAATTACTGTGATCTGACGGGTTTCTCTCAGATAATTACTGTGATCTGACGGGTTTCTCTCAGATAATTACTGTGATCTGACGGGTTTCTCTCAGATAATTACTGTGATCTGAGGGGTTTCTCTCAGATAATTACTGTGATCTGACGGGTTTCTCTCAGATAATTACTGTGATCTGACGGGTTTCTCTCAGATAATTACTGTGATCTGACGGGTTTCTCTCAGATAATTACTGTGACCTGACGGGTTTCTCTCAGATAATTACTGTGAGCTGACGGGTTTCTCTCAGATAATTACTGTGACCTGACGGGTTTCTCTCAGATAATTACTGTTATCCGACGGGTTTCTCTCAGATTATTACTGTGATCTGGCGGGTTTCTCTCAGATTATTACTGTGATCTGACGGGTTTCTCTCAGATAATTACTGTGATCTGAAGGGTTTCTCTCAGATAATTACTGTGATCTGACGGGTTTCTCTCAGATAATTACTGTGATCTGACGGGTTTCTCTCAGATAATTACTGTGATCTGACGGGTTTCTCTCAGATAATTACTGTGACCTGACGGGTTTCTCTCAGATAATTACTGTGATCTGACGGGTTTCTCTCAGATAATTACTGTTATCCGACGAGTTTCTCTCAGATAATTACTGTGATCTGACGGGTTTCTCTCAGATAATTACTGTGATCTGACGGGTTTCTCTCAGATAATTACTGTGATCTGACGAGTTTCTCTCAGATAATTACTGTGATCTGACGGGTTTCTCTCAGATAATTACTGTGACCTGACGGGTTTCTCTCAGATAATTACTGTGACCTGACGGGTTTCTCTCAGATAATTACTGTGATCTGACGGGTTTCTCTCAGATAATTACTGTGACCTGACGGGTTTCTCTCAGATAATTACTGTGATCTGACGGGTTTCTCTCAGATAATTACTGTGACCTGACGGGTTTCTCTCAGATAATTACTGTGATCTGACGGGTTTCTCTCAGATAATTACTGTGACCTGACGGGTTTCTCTTAGCCTGGTTAAAACCAGACCATTCTCAGTTGTAACTGAGTTAGGGTCTGGCAAAGCTTCATAGACAAATCATTTCCAAAGGGGCGTCACCAACGGACGTAGCTCAAATGCATCTGGGCGCAATTGGATAGACCTAAAACCAATCAGAGCGATGAAGAAGATGACGTATGCAGAGCGACGTTGGTTCGTCTGTTATAGAACAACTTGCTGACACTGATTAGCTACTTTTGCCTGGACCCGATGACAATGCAGTGCTGAAGTATCCACTATCCTCTCCCTATGGAGGATCCCTTTCCCACTCTACAGATAAAGCGTTGTGAATTCCGGCTCGCGTACCCCGAAGTGATAAAATAAAACAAAATTCTGTATCAAAATTTTTAGGCAAGAAAAGTAGTTTGTTTAGGCTGGGTTGTATGAATTACAAACCTGCGCACATATTTTAAAAAGCACATAACTATAGAATTCTGAATGAGCATGTGAACGCCGTCTGCGTTAATCACAGGTTCGCGTTTAAAGTCTGATCATTTCGACGGAGGTGAATCAATCAAAGTTAACTTTAGCTGGAAGTAACATTATTCAAGAACCGCTATAACGCCAAAACAATCTGTTACCTTAAATGATATGTTTATCTCTGTAAAGCTGCTTTGAAACAATCCATTGTTAAAAGCGCTATATAAATGAAGATGACTTGACTTGACTTGACTTGCTCTACGTTTATTTAAAATTAACAGCAAGACAACTGGAAGTGAATGTGCTTTCCATTAAATAAATCACACACCGTAAACAAAACCTTAATAAAAAAAACTTTGCAATTTAGACGCGCAAACTGGGTGCCGGTGCTGTGAGACGTACGGCTCGGGCAGATTCGGCTTGAAGTCGTTCATCCTCGGATGCTGCGCCGCGCGCGCTGTTACAAAAAACCCGTGCACACAGCCAAGCGAAATGGGGTCTTGCCGGTCTTGCGCACCGAACGCGTCATTTTTGCCCTGTGCACCTTCGCGCTCGTGCGGACGAGTCGAGTTAAACAAGGCTTTACTCCGTGTCAGCGCGCGCTCTGACCGGTAAAGGGGGACAGACCTCTCCCGAATCATCTCCAGCAGTAGCAGCCTCCGATCGCACCACTAACTCCGCCTCCGTTTCCCTTGTAAGCTGATATTAGTATTTAAACATTCTCTATGATAAATGTTTGTGAAAAATATATTGTAATAACATGGTTTTGGCGGTTATAGAGTTCTAATGACGGTGTTCAACTATAACCGTCACACATAGTTCCACGGCGCCATCGATCTTTGTAAATGTACAAAATCTGCTTCACTGTCGCTGTGCTATCGTCATCGTGTAAAGCCCGCCCCAACGTTTCTGATTGGTGCCCTGATTTCTGCTGACTGGAAATGGGTTTCAATGAGCTCTTTGCCAGACTAACTTTCAGAGCAAATCTAAATTTGCCGGAAGTTGTCTGGGTTTTCCCAGGCTAGGTTTCTCTCAGATAATTACTGTAATCTGACGGGTTTCTCTCAGGACATGTTGGGAGACCCGAGCTTCGCGCTGCCATACTGGAACTTCGCGATCGGCGGGAGTGTGTGTGACGTCTGCACTGATGATCTGATGGGCGCGCGCAGCTCCTTCGACATCAACTCCATCAGCTCCAACTCCATCTTCTCACGCTGGAGGGTCGTGTGTGAGAGCGTGGAGGAGTACGACACATTGGGGACCATCTGCAACAGTGAGATCCCATCACCAGGATCATAACTATAACCATAACTATACAAGCGTTCAAACCAGGAACCATAACTATAACCATAACTATACTAGCGTTCAAACCAGGAACCATAACTATAACCATAACTATACTAGCGTTCAAACCAGGAACCATAACTATAACCATAACTATAAAAGCGTTCAAACCAGGAACTATAACTATAACCATAACTATACAAGCGTTCAAACCAGGAACCATAACTATAACCATAACTATACTAGCGTTCAAACCAGGAACCATAACTATAACCATAACTATACAAGCGTTCAAACCAGGAACCATAACTATAACCATAACTATTCAAGCGTTCAAACCAGGAACCATAACTATAACCATAACTATACTAGCGTTCAAACCAGGAACCATAACTATAACCATAACTATACTAGCGTTCAAACCAGGAACCATAACTATAACCATAACTATACTAGCGTTCAAACCAGGAACCAGAACTATAACCATAACTATACTAGCGTTCAAACCAGGAACTATAACTATTACCATAACTATACTAGCGTTCAAACCAGGAACCATAACTATAATCATAACTATACAAGCGTTCAAACAAGGAACCATAACTATAACCATAACTATACTACCGTTCAAACCAGGAACCATAACTATATAACCATAACTATGCAAGCGTTCAAACCAGGAACCATAACTATAACCATAACTATACAAGCGTTCAAACCAGGAACCATAACTATAACCATAACTATACTAGCGTTCAAACCAGGAACCATAACTATAACCATAACTATACAAGCGTTCAAACCAGGAACCATAACTATAACCATAACTATTCAAGCGTTCAAACCAGGAACCATAACTATAACCATAACTATACTAGCGTTCAAACCAGGAACCATAACTATAACCATAACTATACTAGCGTTCAAACCAGGAACCATAGCTATAACCATAACTATACAAGCGTTCAAACCAGGAACCATAGCTATAACCATAACTATACTAGCGTTCAAACCAGGAACCATAGCTATAACCATAACTATACAAGCGTTCAAACCAGGAACCATAACTATAACCATAACTATACTACCGTTCAAACCAGGAACCATAGCTATAACCATAACTATACAAGCGTTCAAACCAGGAACCATAACTATAACCATAACTATACTAGCGTTCAAACCAGGAACCATAACTATATAACCATAACAATACAAGCGTTCAAACCAGGAACCATAACTATAACCATAACTATACAAGCGTTCAAACCAGGAACCATAGCTATAACCATAACTATACTACCGTTCAAACCAGGAACCATAACTATATAACCATAACTATACAAGCGTTCAAACCAGGAACCATAACTATAACCATAACTATACAAGCGTTCAAACCAGGAACCATAGCTAAAACCATAACTATACAAGCGTTCAAACCAGGAACCATAACTATAACCATAACTATACTAGCGTTCAAACCAGGAACCATAGCTATAACCATAACTATACAAGCGTTCAAACCAGGAACCATAACCATAACTATACTACCGTTCAAACCAGGAACCATAACCATAACTATACTAGCGTTCAAACCAGGAACCATAGCTATAACCATAACTATACTACCGTTCAAACCAGGAACCATAGCTATAACCATAACTATACTAGCGTTCAAACCAGGAACCATAGCTATAACCATAACTATACTAGTGTTCAAACCAGGAACCATAACTATAACCATAACTATACTAGCGTTCAAACCAGGAACCATAACTATAACCATAACTATACAAGCGTTCAAACCAGGAACCATAACTATAACCATAACTATACTACCGTTCAAACCAGGAACCATAGCTATAACCATAACTATACTACCGTTCAAACCAGGAACCATAACTATAACCATAACTATACTAGCGTTCAAACCAGGAACCATAACTATAACCATAACTATAAAAGCGTTCAAACCAGGAACTATAACTATAACCATAACTATACTAGCGTTCAAACCAGGAACCATAACTATAACCATAACTATACAAGCGTTCAAACCAGGAACCATAACTATAACCATAACTATACTACCGTTCAAACCAGGAACCATAGCTATAACCATAACTATACTACCGTTCAAACCAGGAACCATAACTATAACCATAACTATACTAGCGTTCAAACCAGGAACCATAACTATAACCATAACTATACAAGCGTTCAAACCAGGAACCATAACTATAACCATAACTATACTACCGTTCAAACCAGGAACCATAGCTATAACCATAACTATACTACCGTTCAAACCAGGAACCATAACTATAACCATAACTATACTACCGTTCAAACCAGGAACCATAGCTATAACCATAACTATACTACCGTTCAAACCAGGAACCATAACTATATAACCATAACTATACAAGCGTTCAAACCAGGAACCATAACTATAACCATAACTATACAAGCGTTCAAACCAGGAACCATAGCTAAAACCATAACTATACAAGCGTTCAAACCAGGAACCATAACTATAACCATAACTATACTAGCGTTCAAACCAGGAACCATAGCTATAACCATAACTATACAAGCGTTCAAACCAGGAACCATAACCATAACTATACTACCGTTCAAACCAGGAACCATAGCTATAACCATAACTATACTACCGTTCAAACCAGGAACCATAGCTATAACCATAACTATACTAGCGTTCAAACCAGGAACCATAGCTATAACCATAACTATACTAGCGTTCAAACCAGGAACCATAACTATAACCATAACTATACTAGCGTTCAAACCAGGAACCATAACTATAACCATAACTATACAAGCGTTCAAACCAGGAACCATAACTATAACCATAACTATACTACCGTTCAAACCAGGAACCATAGCTATAACCATAACTATACTACCGTTCAAACCAGGAACCATAGCTATAACCATAACTATATCAGCATTCACATCAGCGTTCTGTTTATTCTGCAGTTTTGTCGCCCGTCTCTTTAAATGCTCGAGCTCTTAAAGCAGGATGGATTCTTATTGGCTGTCAGTGTTTTTATCATTCATCGATCTAATAGTGTTTCCAATGATATCATTATAGTTGGGGGTAAATAATCATTTGTATTTAGAATGATTTTTAGAGCGATATCTTTATCTTTAGTGTGAACGAGCCTTTAGAGCTGTTACTGTAAGATTCTTCAGGATATATATGAATTTTTTCCTAAATGTTTGAATTAAATTAAATTGTTTTTGTCTGTTTTCCAGCACAGGCTACAGGCAAAATTAGTTTTTATCTCCACTTCAGCAGCACTTATTTACAACAAAACTTACAGTTTGATTCATATCTATATTCTGAAGGATTTTACTGAGGGGTTTGTTCATATCTCATTCAGCCTGATTTATATAACATTTTACTCCTAAAAATGCGGTGAAAATATATATTTTCTGTCTGTTGACAGTATTTTCTGATTTATGAAGTGATAAAAAGAGAAATCCAAAATCTCCTCTATAAAAACCTTTAACTCTAATATGTCAACAAAATTAAACTTTTTGAATCTGAATATTGAATCTGGTTTTATCCAGTGTTTAGATTTATGTGCTGGAAATGTATTCAAATTAGTGCATATTTGCATATTTAAACATAACATTTCAAGTGTAACACAAAGTCTTAATGTACTGTGGCTGAAGTCTTGCCTTGAAACATTAGAACAAAAATTCAAGAAAGATTACAAATGCAAACAGTTTTTTTTATTACAAATTCTGCACAATACGACCAACAACATTTATTTCATATTTACTTTAATCATAAACCTCACTATTTTGAGTGAATTTTAAGGATATATCATGTATGTGAAGCGTATGTGAAAGATTAATATTGTTATTGTTATCAGTATTATTAACATCAGGCTGATTATTATTATCATTATTAATATTATTAGTAGTATTATTGTTATTATTATTATAATTATTTTTATTACTATTTTGTAAGTAATAATATTATCATTATCATCATCATCAATATTATTATTATTATTATTGTTTATGAATATATTTTTTTAAAATGTGTTTATTAATATTAATATTATTATCATTTTTTATTTATTTCTATTATTTTTATGAAGTAATATTGCTATGATCATTGTTATTGTTCTGTGAGGTTCGGAGAGCAGTCCGATCCGCAGGAACCCTGCCGGTAACGTTGCGCGGCCGATGGTGCAGCGGCTGCCGGAGCCTCAGGATGTGGCGTCGTGTTTAGAGCTCAACGCCTTCGACTCGCCACCCTTCTACTCCACCTCGTCTGACAGCTTCAGGAACAGCATTGAGGGTGAGTTACACGCAGTGAACTCTAGTTAACTCTAGTTGACTCTAGTTGACTCTAGTGAACTCTAGTTGACTCTAGTGAACTAGTGAACTCTAGTTGACTCTAGTGAACTAGTGAACTCTAGTTGACTCTAGTGAACTAGTGAACTCTAGTTGACTCTAGTGAACTCTAGTTGACTCTAGTGAACTAGTGAACTCACATTGACTCTAGTCAACTCTATTTGACTCTAGTCAACTCTAGTTGAGTCTAGTGAACTCTAGTTGAGTCTAGTGAACTCTAGTTGACTCTAGTGAATTTTATTGAACTCTAGTTGACTCTAGTGAACTCAAGTTGACGCTAGTGAACTCTACTTGACTCTAGTGAACTCTAGTCCATCTCCAGTGTGTGTGTGTTGAAGTGTTGTCTTGTTAGAGTACAGCGCTCCTGAGGGGAACTATGACCCCGCGGTGCGCAGTCTGCATAATCTGAACTCTAGTGAACTCTAGTGAACTGAGGTGTGGTGTTGTCTTGTTAGGGTACAGCGCTCCTGAGGGGAACTTTGACCCTGCGGTGCGCAGTCTGCATAACCTGAACTCTAGTTAACTCTAGTGAACTGAGGTGTGGTGTTGTCTTGTTAGGGTACAGCACTCCTGAGGGGAACTATGACCCTGCGGTGCGCAGTCTGCATAACCTGAACTCTAGTGAACTGAGGTGTGGTGTTGTCTTGTTAGGGTACAGTGCTCCTGAGGGGAACTATGACCCCGCGGTGCGCAGTCTGCATAATCTGAACTCTAGTGAACTCTAGTGAACTGAGGTGTGGTGTTGTCTTGTTAGGGTACAGCGCTCCTGAGGGGAACTATGACCCTGCGGTGCGCAGTCTGCATGACCTGAACTCTAGTGAACTGAGGTGTGGTGTTGTCTTGTTAGGGTACAGTGCTCTTGAGGGGAACTATGACCCTGCGGTGCGCAGTCTGCATAACCTTAACTCTAGTGAACTGAGGTGTGGTGTTGTCTTGTTAAGGTACAGCGCTCCTGAGGGGAACTATGACCCCGCGGTGCGCAGTCTGCATAACCTGAACTCTAGTGAACTGTGGTATGGTGTTGTCTTGTTAGGGTACAGTGCTCCTGAGGGGAACTATGACCCTGCGGTGCGCAGTCTGCATAACCTGAACTCTAGTGAACTCTAGTGAACTGAGGTGTGGTGTTGTCTTGTTAGGGTAGAGTGCTCTTGAGGGGAACTATGACCCCCGCGGTGCGCAGTCTGCATAATCTGAACTCTAGTTAACTCTAGTGAACTGAGGTGTGGTGTTGTCTTGTTAGGGTACAGCGCTCCTGAGGGGAACTATGACCCCGCGGTGCACAGTCTGCATAAGCTGAACTCTAGTGAACTGAGGTGTGGTGTTGTCTTGTTAGGGTACAGTGCTCCTGAGGGGAACTATGACCCTGCGGTGCGCAGTCTGCATAACCTGAACTCTAGTGAACTGAGGTGTGGTGTTGTCTTGTTAGGGTACAGCGCTCCTGAGGGGAACTATGACCCTGCGGTGCGCAGTCTGCATAACCTGAACTCTAGTGAACTGAGGTGTGGTGTTGTCTTGTTAGGGTACAGCGCTCCTGAGGGGAACTATGACCCTGCGGTGCGCAGTCTGCATAACCTGAACTCTAGTGAACTGAGGTGTGGTGTTGTCTTGTTAAGGTACAGTGTTACTGAGGGGAACTATGACCCCGCGGTGCGCAGTCTGCATAATCTGAACTCTAGTGAACTCTAGTGAACTGAGGTGTGGTGTTGTCTTGTTTGGGTACAGCGCTCCTGAGGGGAACTATGACCCCGCGGTGCGCAGTCTGCATAACCTTAACTCTAGTGAACTGAGGTGTGGTGTTGTCTTGTTAAGGTACAGCGCTCCTGAGGGGAACTATGACCCCGCGGTGCGCAGTCTGCATAACCTGAACTCTAGTGAACTGTGGTATGGTGTTGTCTTGTTAGGGTACAGTGCTCCTGAGGGGAACTATGACCCTGCGGTGCGCAGTCTGCATAACCTGAACTCTAGTGAACTCTAGTGAACTGAGGTGTGGTGTTGTCTTGTTAGGGTACAGTGCTCCTGAGGGGAACTATGACCCTGCGGTGCGCAGTCTGCATAACCTGAACTCTAGTGAACTGAGGTGTGGTGTTGTCTTGTTAGGGTACAGCGCTCCTGAGGGGAACTATGACCCTGCGGTGCGCAGTCTGCATAACCTGAACTCTAGTGAACTGAGGTGTGGTGTTGTCTTGTTAGGGTACAGCGCTCCTGAGGGGAACTATGACCCTGCGGTGCGCAGTCTGCATAATCTGAACTCTAGTGAACTCTAGTGAACTGAGGTGTGGTGTTGTCTTGTTTGGGTACAGCGCTCCTGAGGGGAACTATGACCCCGCGGTGCGCAGTCTGCATAACCTGAACTCTAGTGAACTGAGGTGTGGTGTTGTCTTGTTAAGGTACAGCGCTCCTGAGGGGAACTATGACCCCGCGGTGCGCAGTCTGCATAACCTGAACTCTAGAGAACTGTGGTGTGGTGTTGTCTTGTTAGGGTACAGTGCTCCTGAGGGGAACTATGACCCCGCGGTGCGCAGTCTGCATAACCTGAACTCTAGTGAACTCTAGTGAACTGAGGTGTGGTGTTGTCTTGTTAGGGTACAGTGCTCCTGAGGGGAACTATGACCCTGCGGTGCGCAGTCTGCATAACCTGAACTCTAGTGAACTGTGGTGTGGTGTTGTCTTGTTAGGGTACAGTGCTCCTGAGGGGAACTATGACCCCGCGGTGCGCAGTCTGCATAACCTGAACTCTAGTGAACTCTAGTGAACTGAGGTGTGGTGTTGTCTTGTTAGGGTACAGTGCTCCTGAGGGGAACTATGACCCTGCGGTGCGCAGTCTGCATAACCTGAACTCTAGTGAACTCTAGTGAACTGAGGTGTGGTGTTGTCTTGTTAGGGTACAGCGCTCCTGAGGGGAACTTTGACCCTGCGGTGCGCAGTCTGCATAACCTGAACTCTAGTGAACTCTAGTGAACTGAGGTGTGGTGTTGTCTTGTTAAGGTACAGCGCTCCTGAGGGGAACTATGACCCTGCGGTGCGCAGTCTGCATAACCTGAACTCTAGTGAACTGAGGTGTGGTGTTGTCTTGTTAGGGTACAGTGCTCCTGAGGGGAACTATGACCCTGCGGTGCGCAGTCTGCATAACCTGAACTCTAGTGAACTCTAGTGAACTGTGGTGTGGTGTTGTCTTGTTAGGGTACAGCGCTCCTGAGGGGAACTTTGACCCTGCGGTGCGCAGTCTGCATAACCTGAACTCTAGTGAACTCTAGTGAACTGAGGTGTGGTGTTGTCTTGTTAGGGTACAGTGCTCCTGAGGGGAACTATGACCCCGCGGTGCGCAGTCTGCATAACCTGAACTCTAGTGAACTGAGGTGTGGTGTTGTCTTGTTAGGGTACAGCGCTCCTGAGGGGAACTTTGACCCTGCGGTGCGCAGTCTGCATTACCTGAACTCTAGTGAACTCTAGTGAACTGAGGTGTGGTGTTGTCTTGTTAGGGTACAGTGCTCCTGAGGGGAACTATGACCCTGCGGTGCACAGTCTGCATAACCTGAACTCTAGTGAACTCTAGTGAACTGAGGTGTGGTGTTGTCTTGTTAGGGTACAGTGCTCCTGAGGGGAACTATGACCCTGTGGTGCGCAGTCTACATAACCTGAACTCTAGTGAACTGAGGTGTGATGTTGTCTTGTTAGGGTACAGTGCTCCTGAGGGGAACTATGACCCCGCGGTGCGCAGTCTGCATAATCTGAACTCTAGTGAACTGAGGTGTGGTGTTGTCTTGTTAGGGTACAGCGCTCCTGAGGGGAACTTTGACCCTGCGGTGCGCAGTCTGCATAACCTGAACTCTAGTGAACTGAGATGTGGTGTTGTCTTGTTAGGGTACAGCGCTCCTGAGGGGAACTATGACCCTGCGGTGCGCAGTCTGCATAACCTGAACTCTAGTGAACTGAGGTGTGGTGTTGTCTTGTTAGGGTACAGTGCTCCTGAGGGGAACTATGACCCCGCGGTGTGCAGTCTGCATAATCTGAACTCTAGTGAACTTTAGTGAACTGAGGTGTGGTGTTGTCTTGTTAGGGTACAGTGCTCCTGAGGGGAACTATGACCCTGTGGTGCGCAGTCTACATTACCTGAACTCTAGTGAACTGAGGTGTGATGTTGTCTTGTTAGGGTACAGTGCTCCTGAGGGGAACTATGACCCCGCGGTGCGCAGTCTGCATAATCTGAACTCTAGTGAACTGAGGTGTGGTGTTGTCTTGTTAGGGTACAGCACTCCTGAGGGGAACTATGACCCTGCGGTGCGCAGTCTGCATAACCTGAACTCTAGTGAACTGAGATGTGGTGTTGTCTTGTTAGGGTACAGCGCTCCTGAGGGGAACTATGACCCTGCGGTGCGCAGTCTGCATAACCTGAACTCTAGTGAACTGAGGTGTGGTGTTGTCTTGTTAGGGTACAGCGCTCCTGAGGGGAACTATGACCCCGCGGTGCGCAGTCTGCATAACCTGAACTCTAGTGAACTGAGGTGTGGTGTTGTCTTGTTAGGGTACAGCGCTCCTGAGGGGAACTATGACCCTGCGGTGGGCAGTCTGCATAACCTGAACTCTAGTGAACTGAGATGTGGTGTTGTCTTGTTAGGGTACAGCGCTCCTGAGGGGAACTATGACCCTGCGGTGCGCAGTCTGCATAACCTGAACTCTAGTGAACTGAGGTGTGGTGTTGTCTTGTTAGGGTACAGTGCTCCTGAGGGGAACTATGACCCTGCGGTGCGCAGTCTGCATAACCTGAACTCTAGTGAACTGAGGTGTGGTGTTGTCTTGTTAGGGTACAGTGCTCCTGAGGGGAACTATGACCCTGCGGTGCGCAGTCTGCATAATCTGAACTCTAGTGAACTCTAGTGAACTGAGGTGTGGTGTTGTCTTGTTAGGGTACAGTGCTCCTGAGGGGAACTATGACCCCGCGGTGCGCAGTCTGCATAATCTGAACTCTAGTGAACTCTAGTGAATTGAGGTGTGGTGTTGTCTTGTTAGGGTACAGCGCTCCTGAGGGGAACTTTGACCCTGCGGTGCACAGTCTGCATAACCTGAACTCTAGTGAACTTTAGTGAACTGAGGTGTGGTGTTGTCTTGTTAGGGTACAGCGCTCCTGAGGGGAACTATGACCCTGCGGTGCACAGTCTGCATAACCTGAACTCTAGTGAACTGAGGTGTGGTGTTGTCTTGTTAGGGTACAGCGCTCCTGAGGGGAACTATGACCCTGCGGTGCGCAGTCTGCATAACCTGGCTCATCTGTTCCTGAACGGGACGGGTGGTCAGACTCATCTCTCGCCCAACGACCCCATGTTCCTGCTGCTGCACACCTTCACTGACGCCATCTTCGATGAGTGGCTGCGCAGACACAGTCCAGGTGAGGCCCTCCGTCACTGTCAGTCACGGAGTATCGGCTGGAGGTTAACGTGTGTGTGTGTGTGTTCCTCCAGACGCCTCCGTCTATCCGCTGGAAAACACCCCCATCGGCCACAACAGGGAGTTTAACATGGTGCCCTTCTGGCCGCCGGTGACCAACGCAGAGATGTTCCTCACAGCGCCGGAAAACCTGGGATACTCCTATGAGATCGAGTGGCCAGGTCAGCTTCATTATTATTATTATTATTTATGATCATCATTATTATTATTGTTTATGATTATTATTATTTTTTATATGATGATGATTATTAATATTATTTATGATCAGTCAACTCTAGTCAACTCTAGTACACTTTAGTTGACTCGTAAACTTTGGTGAACAAGTGAACTCTATTTGACTCTAGTGAACTTTTGTGAACTCAAGTTGACTAGTGATCTTTAGTAAACTTTAATGAACTCAAGTAAACTTTTGTGAACTCTAGGTAACTCTAGTGAACTTAAATGAACTCTAGTTGACCAGTAAGCTTTAGTGAACTCTAGTTAACTCGTAAACTTTGGTAAACTCTAGTTGACTCCAGTGAACTAGATGACTCTAGTGAACTTTAGTTGACTCTAGTGAACTCTAATCAACTTTAGTGAACTTTAGTGAACTGTAGTGAACTCTAGTCAACACTGAAGTCTAAAATGCTGTTAATGTGTGATTGTCTCATATTTTCAGCTCGTCCTCTCACACTGACCCAGATCATCACCGTAACCGTGGTTGCCGCCCTCATCGCTGTGGCGATTATTTTCACCGCCACCACGTGTGTCATCAGGTCGCGCTCCTATAGGACGGAGGGTCGGCAACCGTTGCTTGGAGACCATTATCAGCGCTACGACGACCACAACAAAACACAGTCTGTAGTGTAAACGCTGATAATTTGATCTCAAACAGGTACAAGTCTTTAGTATGACAAACAGAAGATGACACTGAAATAATGTAAAATAATCACGACAACTTCCATTAAATCTATTTACAAAATATCTTTGGACATTATTTAATAGTTTATTGTGAATACTTTAAAGTCTCATACTAATAAGACTAAAATAAACCACTAACAAACTGAAGTGTACCGAGTCTCTGTGGTGTTTCCTCATTGCACCGCTAGATGGCGCTGCTGCTTCACCAGGTGAAAATGTTCACAGCAAATGCATGAATACACATTTAACTGAGCGACTTTTGCTAAACATAACTGGCAAAAACATTTGCAAAACATAACATTATTTAAAGGTTGTCGCTTAGAATATTTCAGCTTAATCGGCATCATCATAATAAAAATATAAAGCAATAATATTCAGTTTAAAGTAATGCAGTTGTTTGTTGTTTCTTAATTTCACCACTGGATGGTGCTGCTGCTTCACTGCTTTTCAACAGGTGATTATATTATTCAGGTATTGAAATATTCCAGTGAAAATACAATCAGCCTGAGCTCACATTACAGTGTTTACTCGCATTAAAGAGAGAGAAAGTAGTTTGCACCCATTTTATGTTGTTGGTGTATGCTTGTTGAGAAAAGTGTCTTTTAATAATGCGAAAGAGCGCTCTGCGCATGCGCCGGTTGATGACGAGCATGAGGGCGGGTGTCACCTGTTGTGTGCGCGCGCACCCGTCAGTCAGTCCGACACCCACCCATTCATATCAGATCAGATCCGAGTCTGTGCACGGAAGCCCCGCAGTTTGATCTCATCCGCGGAATAACCGTGTTTCTGACACCCGTGAGCACCGGGCGCGGCTCCTCCGCGGTGTGACGTCATGCTCCGGTGGACCGGTCACCTGCGGCTCTGAGTTATCGATGATGAAGATGGAGGAGTTGCCGGACTTCAGGGATGTGGAGAATAAACTGGGCCGCAAAGTTCCGGAGAGTCTGACCCGCTCGTGCACGGGCGAAGCTGCGATCCGATGCTCGGAAACACACGCGCGCGCGGATGATCTTCACACACTCAACAACAAGATCCGGTTCCTCAGACAGCAGATGGTGAGTCGGTTCTGTGGATTGAGAGAGTCGGATCTTCTGACTCGCGGTGTCTGTTCTGTTTTCATATCATCGTCAGCAGCAGCAGCCATTTATAATGCTTTTATAACCGTCTGTGATCGGAACCCACACAGCAAAAGGACTCCGCGGCGGATCTGCCGCGGAGGTATCGCGGCTTCCGGAACGGACCCGCGAAACGGACCCGTATCGGCGTCCACTTGCTCGCAGTGACGGATCCGCAACGGAGGCGGATCGCGGACCCGCAGTGGCTCCGCGTTGCATCCGCTCCGCATCCGCCATTAAAACCTTACCTCTGCGGCGGGTCCGTTTGGGACCCGCAAATTGATACATACATCCGCCGCGGACCCGCAACGGACTCATAAAATTCTGGCTCATCTGGCCCGGGTCCGTTTTGGACCCGTTTATCTAATTTTTAAAATCCCTTCTGTTCTTGCTGTAGGATAAAATAGGATAAACTAAACTATAGGATAAAACCAAAAACTATAGGGCTAGCCTAGGCTAGTAGGCTACTACAGCAATATAGACCTAAGCTTAAATCTGCATCGCCTTGTATTTTTAACCTAACAATATTGTAAATAGGCCTAACATAAAAGTTTCGATACAAGACATCAATTTACTGTACAAAAGTAATCACTACTCAATGGAAATATAAAATTTACATTTATGGAAAGTTATAGGTTATAACCTATTCTGGTTTGTTAAGTAGCCTATGTGGGCCAGGCTAATCTACATTCATTTTGTGGTCAAAACCTAATTTAGTGCTTTATAGGCCTAGGTCGGTGTAAACATAACATATTTGATCTATTAGGCTACAACTTCAATGAAATACAGCACTATGTACAGCTAAAATATCAGAAAATGAATAACTGGTGAACAACAAGAAGTTCAATAAAAAGATGGTTTAATGTAATCATTTCTCCTATTACTCAGTTTGTGTGGATGGAGGATAGCATGCTTGGTGACCTCCGCATCTGTGGCTGACCGCGTCACCGAGTTTTTTCTCACAGCACCTGTAATCAAACAGACAGATATTAACACAATCATAAAATTATATTACATACTGATTAGTTAACACATCTTCCTTAGTAGTTAACAGTAGTGACTTAAGCGTTAATAAAGAATGACCTAATTCCTTATTAGTTATGCAGTAAGTAAGAAACAGTATTCTAAAGTGTTACCATAAAGTCAAACAAGTGTTAAGAATCAGGTTTGTGAGAAATATAAATATTGTAGCTTAGCTTGGTCATGTACCGGTCTGAAAGTAAGTGGCTTTCCTTGAGAAAGGAAGTCTGCATATTTGCAGATAAAAGCACCACAGTCATTTCCATTTGGCTGTTTGGGAATTGCCTAGAAACAAAATTCCAAGTAAGTATAACGGTAAACAAAAGGGCACAGTTTAAAGAATATTTGTATAACTTATTATATGAGGGCATGCATACGTTGGTTCTTATTCGGCCGATGGTCCATCTGGAAGCCTCAAAGCAGCAGGCTTTTTTGATTTTGTTCTCCTCCATGAGGTATTTCCTGTTAAATAATCACACGAGACATGCATACATGCCTTCAAAGCCGTTTCAGGTTAAAACCAAAGTTCTAATTGGACATAACTCACAACAATATCTGGCAGATCTCATCATGTCTCTGACCATGGAGTCATAGCACTGGAAATAAATTACCTGGTGATAAGCAATGGAGGTCAAAGGTAAAAAAAAATAGTGTAAAGGTAAATATAAAATTTTTACACTTTTAATCATACAGTATAAATATGGAAACAATGTGTTACAAAGGCATTACTATTCATAAATTACTTACAGCCAAAGCCCAGTGCAAGTCAAGGTGCAAAGGAACAAGAACTAGATCATAGAGGAAGAGATCCACTGTTTTGGTCCATTTCTTCACTGCTGCATGGCCTGCAAAATGTCCGTCTCTCTCGTGAATCCCCTGTAAACACACACAGGTGTCTGATGCACATGTAATATGCAATTTTAATAACTGACAGCACATTTCACCAATTACCTGTTTTTGTATAAACAAGTGCATCATTTTTATTCTGTAAACGCTATTTCTGTCAAATGACGGTTATTAATAATTATGGCAGATTTAAAAAAAAAATTATTAAATCAATAATTATATCGATTAGCTCTATAAAATCTACAATGTTTTTATTTTAGATGTATTGAGGGTCATTTGTTTTGTGTGGATATTCATGCATGCATTACAGCACATTCATTAAAAATCATTAATTTAACCATTGTGAATATCCGAGGGTAACTTAACGGTTGCTTCACGACCAATTTCAAAGTTCCGTTCGACTGACACTAGGAGGCGAAATACGACAATCGTATGCGATCTGTCGTGTGCAGTGGAAAGCAGCGGCAACAGCACAACCAATGGCGCGGGCGCCTCTGACGTGCGAGCTGCGTGCGACCAATGAGCCAACTCTACGTCATTACACGTCAGAGCCAGCCAAGGGGGCGCCAGGTCCCCGAATTTTCCATTATAGCAGGTCTTCGTTCATTCATAGTCTGTCTGACATTTATATTTTAGAAGCTATATGTGTCTGTCATGGATTTGCACTGAAATTGATTCTCAAAAATACGGAACAAAGTGCGTTCCGGATCAGTTCAATACGGAATAAGACTTTTATGTGTCAAATAAGCTGTCATCCCCTCCCTCTCGAGCAACTGACAGGACGTCGTCCCACGCGAAGTCATGGCAACCAAATTAACAACAGGGCGAGTAGCTGCTAGGCCTACTACTTGTCAAACTTATTTATAGTGTATATAATATATTATAATATATTTGCCTATAGGCAAAGTGACAAACAGCGTTGAAATCCGCACTCACGTGGGTAGCGTTACCGTGAAATATGACAGCTAACGTTACAGTTTATTGGAAAATAAATTTATTTATGAATTTGATGAATTTAGTGTTTACTGCTATCAGTCCCCAGACAAGAAGCTAACGTTAGCGAACGCTGCAGGGACCCTCTGCCTGTGACTCCCCGCTGCAGGAGACGCTGCTCCGACACGCTGTATTAACGATACTGTTTTAAAACCAACATGATAAACATAACGTTAGCTAATAATGTTCACTTAGCGTTTTGATTTGTTGTTAAACTATGTAATGCACAGCTAGCTAGAAGCTAGCGCTAAATCATTATCCACGAGTGAACATGTTAAAGTTGTCAATAATTTCAAACAACGACATTACAATCATTTACATGATGATAAAAAAAACAATGTTTACAGTCAATGTCGCAATATATAACTTATATACATATATAAATAACTTACTTACTCAAAAGAGGGTTCAGCGCAACCGTGTCCCAGCAAAGAAAGTCTCGACTGATGATCGGCTCTTGGTGTGCTGTAGTTCAACCGTTACAGTAAAGGCGCGTCCGCGTCCTAGGATCCGACATGGGTCCGCACTGGATCCGTTGTTTGACAGTAGAATTTACGGCGCCTCCCGGAGGCGGAGCTGATCCTCTGGGCGGCCCCAAAACGAATGTGACAGTTACGCGGGTTTGGCGACTTGAACGCGGATCCGCTTAGGAGTCTCCTGCTGTGTGGGAAAGCACCTAGATGTGAATCAGATTTATAAGGTTTCTGAATAATTCACCTCAGATATTGATTGACATGAACAAACGCCTTTCACAGAGTTCAGACAAACTTCTCCAGAAGTGAACTGAACTCGATAAAAATATGGCTGTATTCATTTAAGTTTTGGGTTATTATGTGATGATTATAATGTCACGTATGTGTTTTAATATTGACTTGCTGTCGTGTTCGTGTCGCGGTCACGTGGGCTGCGGTGTTTCACGCCCCGTCGCGCGCTAGTCTCCGGATGATCTGAGAGGTGTGTGTGTGTGTGTGTGTGTGTGTGTGTGTGTGTGTGTGCTGCATGGCTTCTGAAGGGTTAACTGGTCAGTTTAGTGTGAGTAACAGATGGTTGATCCGCGCGCCTGCTGTGATTCACTCCTGCACAAACAGACTCAACAAAACCAGTCCGTTCAGCAACACACAGGCTGCTCGTTAATGCCTGGAAAATGTGGAAACACACACACACAAACACACACGCGCGGCGCCCTTACAAGGAAACTTTATACCTCATTAACCCTTAAAAGTGCGGTTATTATGTGACTCTGCAGTGCTCGGTTTTGAACACGTGATCTGCTGAACAGCTGTTGCTTCATTTTCCATTAACTGTTTGAAATAGTTCTAGTTTTACTTTACAATAATGGCACAGACGGTTTGGTGTGTGTGTGATATAGTGTGTGAGTTGGTGTGTGTGTGTGTGTGTGTGTGTGAGGTCGTGACCTGTGCTGGCCTGAACGAACATAAAGAGCCGCCATGAAGGACTGGAGGGGCATTTACAGGTCAACACACACACACACACACACACACACACACACACACACAAGATCATCAGACTGGAAGTGTGTCAGTATTGACGAGAGCATCTGATGTCGTGTGTGTGTGTCAGACAGCTGTTGCCGTGGAGAACAGTGGCAGTATTATGGTCTGTCTGTGAATCATTCATGATTGATTAGGGTGTGTGTTCCTAGTCCACACAAACCTCATGCAAACGAGTGTGTGTTTCTGCGGCTCAAACCTCATGCAAACGAGTGTGTGTGTTCCTGCTGAAGGGTTCGCCTGTGTTTACTGTCTTCACTTGACGACTGATTCAGTGTGTAATATTAGTTCGACTCTTTTGAGTTTCAATGTTTCAGTCAAAACTAAACTCCACTGTTGTTTCTTCACCAGCTTTATATTACATGGCCTTCAGCTGAATCAGCTCTTGCGTTTGAACACGAACATCATTTCATTCCTCCGTTTAAAACTAAATTTAACACGATTCTGCTAAAAAATGAAGTGAACGTGAGACATGTTTGTGTTGAAGCGCTTTTTCACGGTCGACCGATATCCAGTTGTTGTTTTTTTTTCAGCGTATTTGCTGAATTATGATGGTAGAAGATGATAGTGTTGAAGTATTGGATAAACATTATTTCACAGACATTAGCTGGTGAACTACACTGCGAGTTCACGGTCATGTGTTTTAAACGAATAACTATTCATTCAATTGATCAAAAGTGACAGTAAAGACATTTATAAAGTTCCATTTCAAATAAATGTGGTTCTTTTTAACTTCCTATTTATCAAACAATCCTGAAAAATAAAATATATCAGTTTCCACAAAAATATAAACATTGATAATAATAATGAATGTTTCTTGAGCATCAGATCCTCATATTAGAGTGATTTCTGAAGGATCATGTGACACTGAAGACTGGAGTAATGATGCTGGAAATCAGCTTTGATCACAGGAATAAATTACACTTTATATATTCACACATAGAAACAGCTGATTTACATTCTAATGATATTTCACTGTTTTACTGTATTTTTGATCAAATAAATGCTGCTGAAGAAGAGACTTTCAGAAAAATTAGAAATCATTTTTTAAATTATTTATGTAATTATTTCTAGGGATGCACGATATATCGGCCACCATATCGGTATCGGCTAATATGTTTATTTGTAATGTTGTTGTTATCGGCCCGATAAGAAAATTTGTCCGATATATTAAAGCTGATAATAATGTATTGTTTCCTTCAGATGCGACTGTTCAACATGAGGGTTTTTAGTTGCTTGAAATATGATTGGAATCACTTCAAAAAAGGAAAATACAGTAAAGTGCAACATGTGTCATATCGGCTACATAGAACTATCATGAGAACATTATAATTGTGTGTTTGGGACGTGGCTTTTAATGGTGAGACTTTTGTTTTTGTAATCAGGCTTTTAAAATTTATATAAAAAATGTAGAGCCCGACCGATATATCGGCCGATATTAGGCATTTTTCTAACTATCGGCATTTATAATGGCCGATAAATTAATATTTTTAAAAATGCGGTGCGGTGATTCATGTAAGGGTGGCGCTGCCAATAAAGCACCTAAAAGCTGTCACAAGAACTGGCAAAAGTAATGATTATGAATACAACAAATATAGCAAGGAGACATTTTAATTGTTTATTAATAAACAAGTGTTTTCAGTCAGTGTCAGCCAAAGATGAAGTTGACGATGCTGACTCGCGATCTTCAGTTAACGCGCGCCAGAGAGAAATGCACATTTCATACGATTACATGAGTCTGTCTGTCTTTCGTTTTGAATTGTTCTGTTTAAAAGTAGACATTTCAATATAGATATATTTCCATTCTCAGGTCTATACGCTGAGTTTCGGTTCATGAGACGAGCTCCAGTTCACCCGCAGGCGCCTCCGTGTCGAGATTATCTTTCGCCTGCTATATTTACTTCTTAATTAAATCCAGGCAATTGGTTGATGACACATTGATTAAAATTAAGATACAATTAATACAAAACGAAATTCACTTTGAAACGAAAGGTTTTGTGCTTTCTGTTTGATGTCTATGTGAAAGTTTCAAAGCATATTTTAGTGCCGCTTTCAGAGCGCTCACGTCCGTAGTGCTGAACTGCCGCGTCTGTAACATTGTTTTTTCCTCATAAATGCGAACACGAAAAATAAAATGAAATAAAATGAATATTTGATGCAGCCTGTGGAGACTGAGAGCCAACCCTTCTTCATCCGGTGGGTAGTAGCCTACTTGTGATTTGCGCGGTGTAATTCACAGAATTGATTTCTCTGCTACCAGCCTCTATATCACGTATTGTGTGAGCTTGTGACTATTGCAAGCGCGCAGCTGAGAAGTCCTGATTATATTGTCTGCTATAAAATGCGTAGCGCGAGCGATCTCCGACAGTAAACTGATTCTGCTTTGTCTAGGGTAAACAGCTGTTCCGACGCGAGCAGTAACGGCCGCGTCCGGTGTAGACACAGTGTTAAAGCTCATTCTGCCTATAACGCTACGTTACAACATCAAGCAATATTCCAATAATTTATATAATTATAACACTTTATATAGGGCCATTTTGCATTAAGAGTAGCCTAGTTTCATGTTTAGTACATTTTGCTTACTAATTATTTAAAATAGTGTAAAAGTACTGTACATATGTAATTAAAAACGTTTTCATTATGATATTATTAATTTTACTTTAGTAAAAGCATCTGAGTTTTTCCTCCACTGGTAGAGATTTATAGGAATTAAGACTAAAAATAGAAGATAATAAGGTTTTGTCAGTGACACTTTTTAAATATTTATTGATACAAGTTATGACTAAATTAAAAGACAAAGTCGTTAGTGAAGATTATGCAACAGTATTTAGAATATAATATAACATGCAATGCAAACTAGTTTGGTTACAGCTCAGCTGTATAATTCTCATTCTATCATTCCCCCTGCCTCCATTACATATCTGTGTCACACAAGTGTTTGATCACCATATTTGAGTGATCATTGCAAAACGTGTATATTTATTCTGTTTATACTGTGTAAAGTACCCATCAAAAGTTTGTACACACCAATAGGAAAGTGTCCAAACTTTTGAATGGTATACTGTACTATAATACACATAAATAATATTGCTACTGTATTATAATATACACATAAATAATATCGGCCGAAATATCGGTATCGGGCTTTTTTTTACTCCCTAATATCGGTATCGGCTAGTGCTGTGTTGAAAAAATCGATTCACCAATTCTGAATCGATTTTCATATTAATTTCTAAAGATCGATCCGTAACTCAGAGGATCGATTTTAATAGGTTTACATTTTCCCCGTGAACTTTAACTTGCCGCGACTGGGAGATCCCTGTATGCGCATTGAAAGGCTTTCACTCAGCGCGCACATTGTTACGACAACGGGCTTTGAGTGAGTCATTAAACCGTTCATTCAACGAACACGTTCAAAAAAGCTGATTCATTAAAAGAGATGTAATGAAACAAGGTGTTAATTATTTTTAACTTTGAGTTCCACTTTTCAAGGCTCAGCTGAGCAGCAATGTGTCGCATGGGTAACGCTGAAGCTGATGCTTCACTTATTAGAGACCAATATGGCATTGATTCAATGCGTGACTCGCTGATTTCATTTCCCCGCGGCTTCCTCGCGCTGTGGAATGCTGACCAGCGCTGCTGCTGACGCGCATTTATGGTAAATACCCCGTGACGTGAAAGTTAAAAGGATGATACGACAAATATTTCGCTTTCCTTTGACACGGCAACCTTTTTCACAAATACATATGACTTCAAAGACAGACGCAGGTAATCACACGCGCTCTGCCGATCTCTCTCATTCACTGTCTGTGCGAAGCCTCTGTAGGCTACACATCACCACGATAAACAGTCTTGTTTGTTATCATTATGAACTTGTTTAACATTCAATACACATGCATGAAGTTCAAAACAAGAAGGGTATAGCCTTATAAAAAAACGTGAATATCGCGGTTGCTGCGGTTACTTGCAATCCTCTGCGGTTACTGCTGCTGATATACCTCTGCGTCCTCTGTCGTCTACACCAGTGCAAGTTTGTGAAAGCAGTTGTATCAACACTCTGGAAGGGGGATTGTTCTTTACAACCATCAATACTCCATTAATTTGCAGTTAAATGTCTATAATAATTGTATCAATATGTTGCATAACTACAGTCCTGTAATTCAACAGCTGGAAAAAAAATATGCTTTTTTCAAAAACACTTTTCTAAATCTCGAAGATCGGATCGGATCGAATCGAATCGAATAATGATAATCGATTCAAGATCTTGAGAATCGGAATCGAATCGATTCTTGAAATTTGAATCGAAACCCAGCACTAGTATCGGCATCGGCCCCCAAAAATCCATATCGGTCGGGCTCTAAAAAAAATTGTATTTAGATTTATCAGCCAATATATCGATTATCGGCTTTCAAATATAAAGAGTTATCGGTTAAAGGAACACTCCGACTTTTTGGGACTTTAGCCTATTCACCTTATCCCCCAGAGTTAGATAAGTCCATACATACCTTTTTCATCTCCGTGCGTGCTATAAGTCTGTTTGACGCACCCACCGCTAGCCTAGCTTAGCACAAATACTGGATGTAAATGGTTGCAGCTAGCATACTAATCCAAATAAGTGACAAAATAACGGAAACATTTTCCTATTTACATGTTGTGATTTGTATAGTCACAGAGTGTACAAAAAACAAAGTCACATGAGACACAGACATATTTTAACCGTATAAATTAAAAGCAATGCTACTTGGGCGGAGTGATAACCGCACCTGAGACGCGCTCTCTGCTCATCACCACGGTACGTCTCAGGTGCTGCGGTTATCACTCCGCCCAAGTAGCAGTGCTTCGCCTTCAGAGAATATAGTTCCCAGTATTTATACGGTTAAAATATGTCTGTGTCTCATGTGACTTTGTTTTTTGTACACTCTGTGACTATACAAATCACAACATGTAAATAGGAAAATGTTTCCGTTATTTTGTCACTTATTGGGATTAGTATGCTAGCTGCAACCATTTACATCCAGTATTTGTGCTAAGCTAGGCTAGCGGTGGGTGCGTCAAACAGACTTACAGCACGCACGGAGATGAAAAAGGTATGTATGGACTTATCTAACTCTGGGGGATAAGGTGAATAGGCTAAAGTCCCAAAAAGTCGGAGTGTTCCTTTAACGGTATCGGCCGAAATGTTCATATCGGTGCATCCCTAATTATTTCTAAGTGGATTACTGTAACAGAAATGTAAAATAGAAAGATAACAGAAATCATAATCGTAATATTGATAAGTTTGTGGGTGTGTTTCCTGAACGCAGGCTCATCTCCGCTCTGTAGATGTTAAACTGATGCATCAGCTGCTGTCAATCAACGAGGGGGTGGAGTCGATGCGCTGGCTAATGGAGGAGCGAGGGGGTGTGGCCAGCCGGGACGGCAGCTTGACGGGCAGCTCCTTCAGCCTATCAGACAGCCAGTCCCAGCACGACAGCGACGGATTGGACGGGATCTCGGTGGGCAGTTACCTGGACACGCTGGGAGAGGACGATCCCGACGGATCCGTCACCGAGGAGGAGACGTTTACCAAATCTGCCCTGCGCCCTCGTGTGGAGAGTGACGAGTACTACTGCTTCAGATAACCTAAACTCGACGAGTACTACAGCTGCAGATAACCTAAACTCTGAACTCAACGAGTACTACAGCTTCAGATAACCTAAACTCAACGAGTACTACAGCTGCAGATAACCTAAACTCGACGAGTACCACAGCTTCAGATAACCTAAACTCTGAACTCAACGAGTACTACAGCTTCAGATAACCTAAACTCTGAACTTGACGAGTACTACAGCTTCAGATAACCTAAACTCAACGAGTACTACAGCTGCAGATAACCTAAACTCGACGAGTACTACAGCTGCAGATAACCTAAACTCTGAACTTGACGAGTACTACAGCTTCAGATAACCTAAACTCAACGAGTACCACAGCTTCAGATAACCTAAACTCGACGAGTACAACAGCTTCAGATAACCTAAACTCGACGAGTACCACAGCTTCAGATAACCTAAACTTGACGAGTACCACAGCTTCAGATAACCTAAACTCTGAAGTTGACGAGTACTACAGCTTCAGATAACCTAAACTCGAAGAGTACCACAGCTTCAGATAACCTAAACTTGACGAGTACCACAGCTTCAGATAACCTAAACTCTGAAGTTGACGAGTACTACAGCTTCAGATAACCTAAACTCGACGAGTACCACAGCTTCAGATAACCTAAACTCGACGAGTACCACAGCTTCAGATAACCTAAACTCTAAACTCGACGAGTACCACAGCTTCAGATAACCTAAACTCTGAACTCGACAAGTACCACAGCTTCAGATAACCTAAACTCTAAACTCGACGAGTACCACAGCTTCAGATAACCTAAACTCTGAACTCGACGAGTACCACAGCTTCAGATAACCTAAACTCTGAACTCGACGAGTACCACAGCTTCAGATAACCTAAACTCTGAACTCGACGAGTACCACAGCTTCAGATAACCTAAACTCGACGAGTACCACAGCTTCAGATAACCTAAACTCGACGAGTACCACAGCTTCAGATAACCTAAACTCGACGAGTACCACAGCTTCAGATAACCTAAACTCGACGAGTACCACAGCTTCAGATAACCTAAACTCTGAAGTTGACGAGTACCACAGCTTCAGATAACCTAAACTCGACGAGTACCACAGCTTCAGATAACCTAAACTCAACGAGTACCACAGCTTCAGATAACCTAAACTCGACGAGTACCACAGCTTCAGATAACCTAAACTCGACGAGTACCACAGCTTCAGATAACCTAAACTCTGAACTCGACGTGTACCACAGCTTCAGATAACCTAAACTCTGAACTCGACGAGTACCACAGCTTCAGATAACCTAAACTCTGAACTTGACGAGTACCACAGCTTCAGATAACCTAAACTCTGAACTCGACGAGTACCACAGCTTCAGATAACCTAAACTCTGAACTCGACGAGTACCACAGCTTCAGATAACCTAAACTCTGAACTCGACGAGTACCACAGCTTCAGATAACCTAAACTCTGAACTCGACGTGTACCACAGCTTCAGATAACCTAAACTCGACGTGTACCACAGCTTCAGATAACCTAAACTCGACGTGTACCACAGCTTCAGATAACCTAAACTCGACGAGTACCACAGCTTCAGATAACCTAAACTCGACGTGTACCACAGCTTCAGATAACCTAAACTCGACGAGTACCACAGCTTCAGATAACCTAAACTCGACGAGTACCACAGCTTCATATAACCTAAACTCTGAACTCGACGTGTACCACAGCTTCAGATAACCTAAACTCGACGAGTACCTCAGCTTCAGATAACCTAAACTCGACGAGTACCACAGCTTCAGATAACCTAAACTCGACGAGTACCACAGCTTCATATAACCTAAACTCTAAACTCGAAAGGGGGCAGAGCATCAGCTCATTTGCATTAAAAGTGACGGGCACAAAAACGGAGCGTTTTCCTTCACACATAAAAAGGGGCAAATTTGACAAGCTATAATAAAAAATCCTGGTGAAATCTGAGCTGACACTTCACAGACACTGAGGACATCAGAGGTTTATATTACATCATGTGAAAATGGGCATAATGGGTCACCTTTACAGAGATCACGCCTCTCGACCCGCATGTCAGGGAAAGTTTGCAGTCTTACGAACTGATTTAGGAAATCCTGATTGTTCATCAGTTTCCTTCTGTAAGTCCTCTGTGTTTTAGGTGCAGAAACACGAAACCACACGGATCCTTCAACCAGATCGCAGACTAGGAGAATCTTTTCAACCATTTGTCTTAAATTTTTGTTTCCCGAACAGATGAAACAGACACTGATGCGTTCACACACATTCAGTTCTCAGTCCGGTTTGAATTCGGTTCTGTTTAAATACAGTTTAGTTTGAATTCGGTTCTGTTTAAACACAATTTGATTTGAATCCGGTTCTATTTAAACAGCCCAGTTTGAATCCAGTTCTCAGTCTTATGAATTAGTTGTTTCATGAATGCGTTGGATTACAGACCAAGGTTCGTTCCTTTTTAAAGAAGACTCTACTGATTATTGCAGATGTGGAAGCAAGTGTAAAAAACGTAAATACTGTACTGAAATAAACGCCTTTTATTTTATACAATCATATATTTAACAAATTGATTTGGACTCTAAACTTGCTAGAAAATCAAATATGTCTAACCAAAGTCACAAAATTTTATTTAGGTGCTTTACCAAACCTCAGCGTTCGATGCGTTCTCCTGTCACAATATCACTTCTATCACTAACAGTGGCGATACAGGGCACCTCGAGTCTTTCCAGCGCAGCGAATGAGAAAGATGTATCGCCCACTAGGGGGAGGAGCCTGCCGGAAGCGTATGAGGCCCCGTCCACTAGGGGAGAATCTTTTCAGAAGAGTATAAGGCCCCGCCCACTAGGGGAGGAGCCTGCCGGAAGCGTATGAGGCCCCGTCCACTAGGGGAGGATCTTGTCAGAAGAGTATAAGGCCCCCGCCCACTAGGGGAGGAGCCTGCCGGAAGCGTATGAGGCCCCTGTCCACTAGAGGAGGATCTTGTCAGAAGAGTATAAGGCCCTGCCCACTAGGGGGGAGGAGCCTGCCAGAAGAGTATAAGGCCCGCCCACTAGGGGGAGGAGCCTGCCAGAAGCGTATGAGGCCCCATCCACTAGGGGGAGGAGCCTGCCGAAAGATTATAGCAGGTGTCCAATTACAAAACTGGATGATTCTGAAAGTTTCACACCTATTGTGTGTTGATTACTAAAATAAGTAAAAAATAACTAAAGTAAAGCACTGCAATTGTCCCGCTACAGGTTAAAGTCAGCGTGAAGCGTCTTTGGTCTTTGTGCCGAATTTCCAATCGAAAAACAAAAGTTTGATAGACAATATAATAATAATAATAATAATGTTTTACCAGGACAAACATGTTTCTGTCCAGTGGATTAAGGTGTGGATTGGTCGTAAGTGATGTGCGCTAACAGTCAGTTTTGATTTCATGTGGACTTTAAGATGAAATGCACGTTATTGATGACCACAGTTGCTCAGTAAAGGTGAAGAACTATTGAACCGGACGATTTACTGAAGTCAGGAACACACTCAAACACACGATCACGCTGGATTAAACGCTGGAGCGCACATGCTAATGCTAGCGTGAAGCGCGGGTGTGTGACGGACTCGGTCTGGGATGTTCTGCTTCTCTCAGGATTCGACTCTTCACTGCAATGATGAGATTGTTCTTACTTGAATCTGACATTTTCACATGAATTTAGTGTTTATTTTAACAGTTTTGATACGGTGATGTCACAGCTATTATCCGTTTGTTGATCTGTTTGTGACTGTAGTTGTTTGTGCTGCTATTTACTTTATATTACTTTTTTTTCGTGCTTGATTGATTGATCCTAATTTATTTGTTTAATTTTTTATTTTATTTTTATGATGAAATGTCATAATACATTGACTTAATTCTTTTGTCTCTTGAAACAAAGAAAAATAAATACTTATTTTAATGAAATGGTTTTTTACTGATTTTTGGTGATTTTAATAATTTTCACAACTTTTATGACTCCTAGAATATTTTGTTGAATGAATATCTGAACATGCAATATATCAAAAGAAAGAACAGATTCTCTGCTTTAAATAAAACACACACACACACTCTCTCTCTATCTCTCTCTCTCACGCACACACACACACACACACACACTCTCTCGCTCTCTCTCTCTCACACACACACACACTCTCTCACACATACACACACTCTCTCACATACACACACACTCTCTCACATACACACACACACACACTCTCTCTCTCGACTCTCACACAAACACACACACTCTTTCTCACACACAAACACACTCTCTTTCTCACACACACACACACACGTCTGGTTTACTATCTTTGTGGGGACTCTCCATAGACGTAATGGTTTTTATACTGTACAAACTGTATATTCTGTCCCCTTACACTAACCCTACCCCTAAACCTACCCATCTCACACACACACACACACACACACACACACACACACACTCTCTCTTACACACATACTCTCTCTCTCTCTCTCTCACACACACACACACTAGCACACTTTATCTGAGATCTGTGATGTTTCCTCAGTTCCTGTTCATCAGTGTTTCTGCTCTAGAATCTGTTTGATGTCGAACAAGGCAACTCTATAATGTGAAACACGTAAAGCTCTGATAACGTGTGTGTGTGCGTGCGAGTGTGTGTGTCTGTGCATGCGTGCGTGTATGTGTGTGTGCGACTGTGTGTGTGTGTGTGTGCGAGCGAGCATATGTGTGTGTGTGTTTGGTTTAGCACAGAAGAACAGACGGTTCTTCATCATCAACATCACAGATATTCTCATTCAGATAATTATATCAGTTAAATAAGTTTGTGCTCGAGCGGATCCTCAACATGATGGATGTGTAATATCTAGTTAATGTTAATAAAACACGAGATCTGAGTGTGTTTTCGTGCAACAGAGAGGAGATGCAAAGCGTTTCATCATCATAATCACGTGCTTTCATATGCAAAACCACACAAACGTTCCCACAGTTATGATTCCTATATAGAGCAAAGCTTAGAAACACCAGAGTATTTTATTTGCAAATGAACGTCTCGCGGCAAGATTACTGAAATGAGCAGCAAAACAAACACGAGGAGAGCCGTGGATAAACGGCTGGACTGAAGAAGGGTTCTGTTTTTCTGAGTCTCTGAGGATGACCTTGGCTTGAGGACGACCTTGTCTTGAGGACGACCTTGTCTTGAGGACGACCTTGGCTTGAGGACGACCTTGGCTTGAGGACGACCTTGTCTTGAGGACGACCTTGTCTTGAGGACGACCTTGTCTTGAGGACGACCTTGGCTTGAGAACGACCTTGTCTTGAGGAAGCTTGTCTTGAGGACGACCTTGTCTTGAGGACAACCTTGTCTCGAGGACGACCTTGGCTTGAGGACGACCTTGGCTTGAGGACGACCTTGTCTTGAGGACGACCTTGTCTCGAGGACAACCTTGGCTCGAGGACGACTTTGTCTTGAGGACGACCTTGTCTTGAGGACGACCTTGTCTTGAGGACGGCCTTGTCTTGAGGACGACCTTGTCTTGAGGACGACCTTGGCTTGAGGACGACCTTGGAGTCATTGGGCCCAAACTCAAGGCATGAAGCGCTGACGGAGAGCGCTTGTAAATCGCCCACTCGCTTGACTGATGCTAATGCTAGCAGGAGTGCTATCTTGAGCGAGAGTGGCCGACTGTAGCGGCTCGAAGGGGGAGAGGGGCTGACAGGTCCCAGGAGGGTCCGGTGAGGGGGAAAGGGTTGGACGAACCACCAGGTTGCTTCTACCCAGAGTTTTGCCCGCCACAGGCGCGTGGAAGGGGTCTTGACTCCGTGCTGAGCACCAGTTGGAGAAAACAGAACACTTCGCTGGGAGGTCCGTCAGTTCCCGTTGAGGGGCCTTGTGTGGAGGGACCACATCTTGGGTCGGGGTGCCAGATTGTCCTGTTCGCCTGGGAAAGGAGGTCTTTCCCCAGGGGTATTTGCAGGGTTTGGTAAGCCAGAGAGAGGCCTGTCCTCCCTAATCCGTCTGATGACCCGAGGAGCGTGGCATGGGGAAAGGGTAAGGCTGGACCATTTGTGGGTCAGCGCATCTTTGCTCTTTGTGAAGAATATTGGGCACACTGCAACAATACTTTTCTTACTTAGTATTTTTGTCTGGTCCCAGTCCAAATGCTTTCCTGCAGCTCAAACAGTAGAGCATTGGCGCTTGCAACACCAAGGTCATGGGTTCGATTCCCAGGGAAAGCAAGAACTGATAAGAATGTAAAAACCTTGGAATGCAATGTAAGTCGCTTTGGATAAAAGCATCTGCTAAATGCAAATATCTAAAAATTCTTGAATCAAGATGCATTTTACTATTTTTTACTACACTCAAAATTAAGTGATTTGTTGCTTTAAAAAAGAAAAATGATCTGCCAATGGGGTAAGAAAAATTATTTTAATTCAAACTGAAACAATTTTTTTTTAACCCATTGGCAGATAATTAAGCTTTTTTTATTAAGTGATTTATATTCCCAGAAAACAAGACATAATATCTTATGGCATTTTACTACTTTAGTGAGGACATTTTATTTAAGAATGTTTAGATATTTGGACTGGAAACAAGACAAAAATACCAAGTAAGACAAGCATTGTTTGCAGTGCAGTGAGAGTTGCTTTCGGAGGCGAAGAGGTCGACCTCGGCCTTGCCGAAGATGCTCCAGATTGTTTGACCCGTCTGGGGATGGAGAGACCCTGGGAACACGTTGTCCCGGGACAGCATGTCTGCTCCCTGGCTCAGGTGTGCCCATAACAGGAGGCGTCGGGCTAGTCTGTACAGAGGCCGCGACCTGAGTCCACCCTGGTGGCTTATGTAGGACTCTACCGGCATGTTGCTCACCTACATCCGCTCGCTCGACCTCTGGCTCCACTGTTTCTGT